ACAATTTAATTCATTATATTGCCACAACACAGAAAATGTCCAAAATAATAATAATAATAATAATAACAATAATAATAATAAAAAAGTTTTTGTGTTGTGAATCAAATTAAAAATAAACAATTCATTTTTTTTTTTTTTTTTTAATTTTGTTTTTAAAGTTTTTCATTTTTTTTTTTTATAAAACGAATGGAAACGTTTCGAAATTTTAAATTTTTTTTTTGGCGCCAAATACTTTGACGAACTAAAAACTTTTCTTATCATTTTGTTTTTGATTTAATATCAATTGGAATGATTTGTTTTTTATTTTTTATTTATCGAAAAACAAACAAACAAACAAACAAATTGAAAATGACGTATTCTTAATTATCATCATCATCAGAGATTTTTATCAGAGATTTTTTAACAAATATTAACTAAAATTTGATAAAAAAATTAACCGGTTTAATTGACTAGGATAGAAAATTTTCTTTCGTGGCAGTAGTTTATAAAATAATTTACTCCCACGATGAAAAAAAATTTTTTTCTGTTTCTCCGAACTATCAAAAGCACAAGACCGCTTTTAATAAAAATTTATTCTAATTAAATTTTATTGTCGGTCGTAAAAACAAAAAAAAAAAAAAAAGGTTAAAAAAAAAGAAAATGGCGTCGTCACGTGGTGTTGTTGGTCACTAAAATTTTTATAATAAATGATTTGAAAATTATCGGAAACCATAAAAAGAAAGAAAGAAAAAATTAATTGGTCATTTTCTTTGTTTATTTAAAAACCTTTAAATTTACATTTAAAAAAAAAAAAAAAAAAAAGCAGAAGACAAAAAAAAGGGTGTGTGAAGAGAGGGTAATCCAAAATCCAATGGAAAAAAAAATTAAAGTGGAAGTAGAAAAAGAAGAAGAAGAAAAATAATAAACGTAAACGTAAAAAAGCATTAAATGACCTTTTTTTTTTTTTTAAATTATTAAATTTTTATTTTTATTTTTTTTGACCTTTGACACTGACCGATTTTTTTTATTATCATTATTTTCATTAGTATTATTATTATTATTATTATTTTATTACGATTTTTTCTCTAACTCCACGTTACGCCGAACGAAAAAAGGATTTTAATACTCCTTTAAACGTAACACTAACGATTATGACTACGACTACGACTTGCAATAATAATAATAATAGTAATATTAATAATAATAATAATAATAATAAAAATAATAATAATAATAATAAAAACCTGTGTGTGGTTTTTTTATAAAAAATAAAATCCATTTCGTAATAATAATAACGGTTTTCGTTTTTTTTTTTTTGTTTTTTTTTTCTTTTCCCTCCAATTTAATTTTAGACCGTCGCAGGGAGGAGGGGGTATAAGGGGGGGGAAAAGATGGCGTTTCTTTAGGTTATTTTCTGATAACAAAATTTTTTTTTTTTATTTTTTCGCGTGAATTAACAAATTTAAATATTTGCATGGTAATTAATAAAAAAAAAAAAAAATTTTTTTTTTCAGTTTCAAAGTCGTTAACGACGACGTAGGGGAAACACCTCGTGAATTATTACAGGTAACAAATTTACTTTGTGTTATTTATTATTACACGGTTTTATATTTAAATTATTATTATTATTATTATTATTATTATTATTATTATTATTATTATTATTATTATTATTATTATTATTATTATTATTATTATTATTATTATTATTATTATTATTATTATTATTATTATTATTATTATTATTATTGTTTCTTTAACTTTTCGCAATTTTTTTAAATTTTCGCCTTTTTGAACAAGGAATGTGTGAATACGTGGATTGTACTTTGGAGTAATACGTGTTTTTTATTTGCGTTTCGTTTTCAAGGAAATTATTAAAAAGTGATGCAAATATCTAATGACACGATATTTCATGCTCTCGTTTTATTTTTCTTTATACTCACTCACTCCTTACACTCACTCGTGGCACGAGAATTTTTTTGTTTTACTGGAATAATGAAAGAGTAGGTTTTCTTATTTATCGTCATTAAAAAAAAAAAATTTGTCTCGAACGTTTTATTCAAAACATTTTTTTGGTTAAAACGAACGTGTTGATAACATTTACAAACGCCCCCCTTTCCCCCTGACGGGAAAAATTTAACGAAAAATTAATTAATAATATTATTATTATTATTATTATTATTAAAATTCACATCCGGTCGGGTATTTGTTTGGTTACGTTTTGAATATTCGAGAATGCATTCAATAATTTTTTTTTTTTTGGATTCTTCTGAAAAATTTTTTTTTGAAAATTGGCTCCACCCATTTTTTTCCATTTAAATAAATAAATAAATAATAATAATAATAATGATGATGATGATGATGATGATAATAAGGTGGTTTTATAAAATCGGAAGAAATAAAAAAAAGGAAATATATGATGAAAAATCCAATTTTTACGAACGGTAAAATTCCAAAAAAAAAAAAAAACTATTATTATTATCATTATTAATATCAATAATAATAATAAGAATAATGATGATGATAATAATAATTTTTTTAATTAATGAATCACGCGAAATTCGCATTGATTACGAAACAATAAATTTTTTTTTCTTTTTTTTTTCTCCACACCTTTTTTTTTTTTTTTTGTTTTTTTCCAGAGTAATAGAGGTTAAGAGTGAAAAGAAAATTTTTAGTTTTTTTTATTAAAAAAAGAAAGAAAAAATTAAAAATATTCTCCAGGTAAAAAACTGGAAAAAAAACCATTGTTGTTAAGGTAAAGTGATGAATGGCGTGTTTTTCCAGGCGGGGGGGGGTGGGAGTCTCCTTTCGGACTGTTGGTCCTCATTGAAATAAGAAGCGACATCAATCTTTTCTGTTTTTTTTTTTTTTTTTTTGTTATTTTCAATACATTTTGTCGGTGGATGATGGAAAACGCAAAGGAAAAGAAAGAGGAAAGGGAGGGTGGTGGTGGAAAAGGGTGTGTAAGAAAGGAGGATGGAAAAAAAAAGAAAAAAAAAATAAAAAGGAAAAAAGAAAAGCGAAGCTTAATAATGGTTGGGCATGCTTTGAAAACAAAATTCAGACAATTCATTTGAAACTTTAATTTGAAGTCGTGAGAGAACTCAAAACGTTTCCAAAAAAAAAAATTTTTTTTTTCTTCTTCTTCTTCTTCTCCTTCTTCTTTCCTTCCTTTCTTCTTTTTTACTTTTTTTTTTGTTCTAGAACTAATTATGAACCTTCGATTCATGTTAATTGTTTTTAAACGTTGTTTTTAAAAAAAAAAAAAAAATTAACACCAACTCGTCACTAATTAAATTTTTTTTTCTTTTTTCTTTTTTGTGCGTGCGCGTGTGCGTTTCTCGCTTTTCTGCAACGTTTAATTTTTTTTTTTTTATCTTTTAAACAACGTTTTAACGGTCGAACAAATTTTTTTTTCCATATTTTTATTATAATACTTTTTACAAAATTCTTTCACTCTCCTCTCTCGTAGATATTATTATTATTATTATTATGGTTATTATTATTATTGATTTTTCTAATACGAACTTTCTAGAAAAAAAAGAAATTACTTATGATTATTATTATTATTATTATTATTATTATTATTATTATTAACTCGTGAATAATTTTTTTTTTTTTTCCTTTCGTTCGGGGGGAAAAAACAAAAAAAAAATTTTTATTTTACTTGTGACGTCACATACATAAACAATAGCAGAAGAAAATAATTTTTGCGACTATGAAAATTTTATGTATTAATTCAATTCGTGGTTGTTTTTAACAGGGAAATGTAGGGAAATTTTTTTTTTTTTGTTATTTTTTTTCCCCGCCGCCGCCGCCATCATCATCTTCTTCTTCCACGTTTTCATTCGCGATTTTTTCTTTATTTTTTTTTTTTTTTTTATTATCATTTCTCTCGATTCACGAAACGCTATTATTCCTTTTTAAATTTTTTAAGGGAGTAAACGAGATACGGGGAAAGCGGAGGGAAGATAGAAGGGGGGAAGAAAAAAAAAAGATGAAATTTACATAATTTGAAAACCAAAAAAAAAAAAAAATCCAAATGACAGAAACCGAAGGGGAAAGAAAAAAAAAATTTAAGGTTTGAGTACATGTCAGACAATGGAAGTTTTTTTTTTTTTTTTTTTTTTTTAACATCAGATAAAAATGAATTTTTTTTTGATTTATTTCATTCCTATTGATGATATCTTTTCCTGGAACGAATAATTTAAATATTATTATTATTATTATTATTATTATTATTACTAATATATTTTTTTTTTTCGAAACTGAAAAAAAAAAAAATTCACTTCGTTTTCTTTCATTGTTCTCTGGAGACAATGGAAACAAAAAAATCAAAAAATTGTCAATCAGTCAATCAAACGTTACAAATTTTTTTTTTCCTTTCTTTCTTTCTTTTGTGCGTTCGTTATTTTTTACACTTCCTTATTATTATTACTATTATTATTATTATTATTATTATTATTATTATTATTATTATTATTATTATTATTATTATTATTATTATTATCCACCATTAAACACGACAAGGCTACTTGTCGGAGTTTTTAAGTATTTA